GGCTAAAGTTAACGTAGAATTATATTCCTTTCTGGAAGCAAGGGAGAATACATTTTCTTGTCTTTCTAGCTTCTAGAGGCTATCTGCATTCTCTCACTGGTGGCTCCTTTCTGTCTTCAAATTCAGTAATAGCTGGTTTAGAGTTTTTCACATAATACTACTCTGATACTTTTCTGCTTCCCACTTGCACTTATTAAAGGTTCTTGTGTTTCTAAGCCCACCTGGATAATTTAGAGTAATCTTATTATAAGGTCAGCTGATTATCAACCTTAAATCCATCTGCAATTTAAATTCCCCTTTGCCACATAACAAGATATTCACAGGTTCCAGAGATTAGGACATAGATACTCTGTGCGATCATTATTCTCCCTATCATAGTCCACTCTCTGGTCCCCAAAGATTTACAGACACCCCATACAGACACCCCATATAAGAAATATATGTAAGGTCCTCAAATATCTCATCTCATTATAGTACTGTCTCAGTGTGTATGCCCAATACAAATAGTGTACACCTATGACATCCTTGGCTTTCTTTCCTAATTTTAGCATCTTTTACAATCTGAATAGGCTGAGAATTTCTCAAATCATCAAATTCTGGTTCCTTTTTGCTTAACAGTCCTTTCCTCAATCTATTTTATCCTTCTCACATTTTACTATAAGCAGCAAGAAGAAACCAGGCTGCACTTTCAACCTATGCCTGGAAATCTCAGCTAAATATCCAAGTTCATTGCTTACAAGTCCCTTTTCTCTCACATTTCCATGACAGGACACAATTCACCTGTTTCAGCCACTATGTAGCAAGGATTCCCTTTCCTCCAGTTCCCAGTAACATTTTCCTCATTTCTTTCTGAGTCCTCATCATTAGTGACTTTAACATCCATATTACTACCAAGTCTCCTAAGGTTTTGATTTAGGTATTCTACATGGCAGTATATGTTTTCTCAACCATACTTCCTCAACTTACTTCCTTCTGAATCTTTGCTAGCAGAGTTATTAACATTTGTATTTCAACCACTAGTCTGTCCAAAGCAATCTAAGACTTTTCCATCATGCTCTTCAAAATTCTTCCAGCCTATGCTTGTTACTCAATTCCAAACCAGTTTGCATGTTTTTAGTTATTTGTTACAGCAGGACTCCACTTCCAGGAACCAAAATTCGTATCAGTCCGGGTTCACTCAGAGAAACAAGCAGCAGGAGATACATGTTAAGAGATTTATTGCAAGGAAGTGACTTATTTGATTGGGTGAGCTGGCTAGGCAAATCCAAAATCTGTAGAGGAGGCAATTAGAAAGGAAAGGCTGGAAATCTGGGGCATCAACTGAAGCTGCTGCCCACAGTCAGAATTTCATCTGAAGAAGACTCAAAGCTGCTTTTAAGGCCTTTCAACTGATTAAATCAGGCCCATCCAAATCATCTAGGATATTCTACATATTTTAAAACTGATTACCAACCTTAATACCTCTGAACCTTAATTTTCTATTGCAATACAACAGCATATTTACGGGTTCTAGGGATTAGGATGTGGATGTCTTTAAGGGGCCATTACTCTGCCAACCACACCAGGTTCCTGGAGACAGAGTTGTCCTGACAACAGAGTTGATTATTTCTTCAAATCATTCAACTCCCTCACCAACATATCTTTACTAAGTTGTCTTTGCTTAAGTAATGTTAATTCTACAATGGATTTCCTTTCAAATTACCTATTAACCAGAACAATGTCATATCCAAAGACAGATACTGGAATGCTGTGTCATCAATATCTCCTCTAGGGGCAGAATTTAGAGCTCACTTGAGAATTTGTTTGTAATAGCAAGGGACAGTTGCAGGCAATGTATTGCTTGGTCATGTCTATTGACATTAAGAGTATATGGTGTATGCATGTGTGCTCAGTTGTGTCTGATTCTTTATGATCCTGTGGTCTGTAGCTTGCCAGGCTCCTCCTCATGGAATTTTCCAGGCAAGAATACTGGAGTGGGTTGCCGTTTCCTCCTCCAGGCAATCTTCCTGACCCAGGGATTGAACATGCATCTCCTGCACTGCCTGCACTGCAGGCAGATTCACAAGAACTCCTAGTTGAAAAGGACAACCTTATTCAAGGTACACGTGTACCCCAGTGTTCAAAGCAGCACTAATTACAATAGCCAGGACATGTGAGCAACCTAGATGTCCATCAACAGATGAATGGATAAAGAACATGTGGTACATATACACAATGGAATATTACTCATCTACAAAAAGGAACACATCTGAGTCAGTCTAATAAGGTGGATAAATCTAGAGACTATTATATACAGTGAAGTAATTCAGAAAAACAAATAACATATTAACACACATAAATAGAATCTGGAAAGATGGTATTGATAAACTTATTGGCAGGACAGCAAAGGAGATGCAGACATAAAGAACAGACTTTTGGACACAATGGGGGAAGAAGAGGGTGGCATGATTTGAGAGAGTAGCATTGAAACATATATATTACCATATGTTAAACAGATAGCCAGTGGAAATTTGCTGTATGATGGCAGGGAACCCAAATCCGGTGCTCTGTGACAACCTAGGGGGTGGGAGGTAGAAAGGAGCTTCATGATGGAGGGTACATATGTATACCTACCAGTGAGTCATGTTGATGTATGGCAGAAATCAACACAATATTATAATTATCCTCTAATTAAAAATATTTTAAAAAAGAACTCATTAGTCATTGTGGGTATCATTAAACTCTTAACAGGATCATAACTTCAGGTAGATATAAGGAAGAAGTTACAAGTCTTCAACATTAAATTAGAACAGAAAGAATAGATGAAAAAGATATACTTTCATGAGATAGCATGTATTTTAAAGTGAAAGTCCAATGATTACAAGAGTGATTTTGAAATAAATAGGAAATTATACATGTTGTTATCTACTGATAAAACAAAAATCCAAACAGAACTTGGAAAAAATTGGACATAAGTAACAGAAGAACCTAGCAGGTATAGTCCATAGGGTCTCGAAGAGTGGGACATGACTTTAGCGACTTAGTACAGCACACAAATATAAACTGATTCCATTCCAAACAGAAGAGGCGTTATAGAAAAGTCATAGTTGTGTAAATAACAAAAACTTAAAGAGCTTCCAGTAATAAAAAAATGAAATATGATAAATGAGTCAGACATTTTTACATCGTGTTATATACAGTGAGAACAGAACTTTTAAAAGTTAGAATTACTTTTATTCTGAGAGGCTTTCATATTATCATTTAGAAATACTAAAAATTTAACCAGTAGTACGAACTTTCCTGATATAAAATTTTACTGACAATAATTGGAAAACTAATTATAGGGCAAACAGGCCAACAAAACGAAGATTAGCATTACTATGAAAAACTTTGAAAAGAAAGACGAGTAGAATTATTACTACCAGGTTAAAAAAGGGAAAGGTGTAAGAGAGAAAACTAATGTACGCAGTTGGAGAAGTTTCAGATGCCTAAACGATTCTGGAAGGTTGGACTTCCTTCTGATTTCCTTTCAAAGTTTGATTCTAGACTACTGGGTAAGACAGGCTTCAAGAATTTGAACTCATTCGTCCCAGTACCTCCCATCAGACACACCTCGTACTGGTAGCTCTGCGACAGGGTCCCCGTGCCGCTGACGTCCACCAGGTGGCCCGGGAAGTGGCCCTCGGGCACCGGGCAGCGACCCGCCGAGCCCGCCCCGCCCCTCCTGCACAGCCGCACCGCCACGAACACCAGCACCGAGAAGAGGAAGAGCGACGACACCGACGCCAAGGCCACCACCAGGTAGACGGTGAGCGGGTCGGCCGGCGCCGCGGCCGCCGCTTCCGCTTCCGGGGGCGGCAGGTAGGGCTGCGAGAAGCCGTCCACCAGCAGCACGTGCAGCGTGACGCTGGCCGACAGCGGCGGCTCGCCGTTGTCCTTGACCAGCACCACCAGCCGCTGCTTGGGCGCGTCGCGCTCGCTCAGCAGCCGCGCCGTGCGCACCTCGCCGCTGTGCGCCCACACGCCGAACAGCCCGGGCTCCGTGGCCTTGAGCAGCTGGTACGACAGCCAGGCGTTCTGGCCCGCGTCGCCGTCCACCGCCACCACCTTGGTCACCAGGTAGCCGGGCTCGGCCGCCCTGGGCACCAGCTCGGTGCAGGGCGCCGAGGCGTTCTGCAGCGGGTAGAGCACGAAGGGCGCGTTGTCGTTGGCGTCCTCCACGAGCACGCGCACCAGCGCCTGGCTGCTGAGCGCGGGCGAGCCGCGGTCGGCGGCGCCCACGCGGAACTCGAAGGCCCGCAGGACCTCGTAGTCCAGGGACGTGAGGGCGAAGAGGTGGCCATTGTCGGGGTTGATGGACACGAGGGAGGCGAGGGACACGTGCGGGTCGGGCGGCGGCAGCAGCGAGTAGGTGACCTGGGCGTTGGCGCCCGCGTCTGTGTCTGTGGCGCTGACGCTGCCGATGTGCAGGGCAGGGCTGTTGTTCTCGCGGACCCACAGGGTGTAGGAGGTCTGGGTGAAGGCGGGGGCGTTGTCGTTGACGTCGGACACCAGCACGGTTATGTTGTGCTCGGTTTTCAGCCTCGGTGTCCCCAAGTCGGTGACAGTAATGGTGACATTATACTCAGCTTTGCTTTCTCTGTCTAGCGCCCCATTTGTTACCAGCGTGTAGAAATTCTCTTCAGATGGTTTCAGAATAAAGGGGAGATCATCCTGGATGGAGCAAGCCATCTTTCCATTGTCCCCTGAGTCTCGGTCTCTAATCCTAAACAGGGCCACTTCTGTCTCGGGGGAGTTTTCAGGAATGGGGCTGGTAAGTGATGAAATAGTTAGTTCTGGGGCATTATCGTTAATATCCACCACCTCAATAAAGACAGAGCATTTTCCAGAAAGTCCCCCGCCATCAAATGCATCTATATCCAGATCATATGAGGATACTGTCTCAAAATCGAGTGTTTTAATTAGTCGAACTTCTCCCGAAAGGCTGTTTAGCTCAAAAGTTGGGCTCATCTCCTGAGAACTATAAAACAGGGAATATGATACCTCTCCATTTGAACCAGTGTCTAAATCTCTAGCAGAAACTTTGACAACTAGGGCGCCTACGGGGCTGTTCTCTGGGACCTGCACCTGGTAGTGGGCCTGCGCAAACTGAGGGGCGTTGTCATTGATATCCAAGATCAAGATTCTGACCTGGGTGGTACCAGATCGAGGCGGAGAGCCGCCATCCAGCGCTGTGAGGGTTAATCTGAGCAAGGCCTGCTTCTCCCGATCAAGCTCTTTGTCCAGCACCAGCTCTGGGTATTTCCTACCATCCCCCCGATTGCGGGTGGAAACATGAAAATAAGAATTGGGACTGATACTGTAGTTTTGGATGTTGTTGTTGCCCACGTCCAAATCCTGAGCATTTTTCAGAGGAAACACTGACCCAGGAGGGCTGTTCTCTGGGATTTTCAAAGTCATTTCTCTTTCAGGAAACTCAGGAGCATGATCGTTTATGTCTCTCACCAGTAGCTCAGCTCGAAATACTCGCAATGGTTTTTTCAGTAACACTTGAAAATGCATTACACATGGATCTGTAGCGCCGCACATCTCCTCCCGGTCCAGTTTCTCATTTAATGTCAACTTCCCAGTCTGCAGATCGAGCTGCAACCGGGGTTCGTTGTACTCAGAGACCACCCGGGCTTCCCGCGCAGCTAGCTCCCCCACTCCGAGCCCCAAGTCCTTGACAAGGTTGGCCACAAACGAGCCGCTCTCTATTTCCTCCATCACGGAATAGCGACGGGATTCCCAGCCTGCAAAAGTCACTCCCAGCAAAAGAAAGAGGATCAGGACTTGCCTTTGTTGATGAAAACGCTCCCCTCCGGCCTCCATCTTTACTTCCACAAACGCCTTTCCAGGATCAAGGGTCAGCTCTATTTTAGGGAGCGATAAGACTGAGAATGTGATGGTTCTCCCAGTTGGTAACCTCTCCGGAAATGTCGGTGAGTAGCATTTTCTGGAGACTTGTTGTGAGCTTTGCTTACATACAGTCTTTTCGCTTACGCTGGAGATCTGATGTAGAATTGGGAGCATTTCCTGGGCATATTTTTTGGACGCCTTAGCCTGCAGCGCCACCATGCGTTGTCTTCGAAAATAATTGCTACAATTGTATTCCCTCTTTATAATAATCTAAAAGGCTATTAGAAGCTTGAAAATGTTTTGGGGAAGATTATATAATCAGAAAAATATCAGGCAATAATAATTATTCATACATCATTCAAGGAAGTATGATTGATATCTATATACTAGGTTCTGAAATACATCAATAAACAATCCATTGTCCCTACCTTCTAGAACCTGCTGTCTAGGTGAGGTGCTTTGAGGAGAACTTAGAAGTGAAAGGACACTTAATGATGATCAGTCATCTTCATCTTGTAAAAATAACAATACAAGCCCATGTGATTTATTAAAAGTCTCTCCACGAAACAGAAGGAATTCCTCTACATATGCTTTTAAATTATATGTACCCTATGTGCCAGAATTGTGGTTTCCATTGTTTGAATCACATAAAGGAAAAAGCTACCATTTAAGTCCAGTTTATAATACCTATTATACATAAGGTCAGAGAATTAAGATTTTATGAAACTTTCAAACTATGCGAAAATGCATATGAGGGCACTTCCCATCTCTCTTACCCTTCTCTTTTTCCCTAGCATTGATCATTGTCTTATAAGGCATGTATGTACATATTTACATATTTGTTTCTTTTTTGTGTCATCATTGAGTTTGAGAACTTTGTTTTGTTCACCTTTATACCCACTAACATAGAGAAGAGTTCCTGGCAGAGCATTCCTGTAGATACTCAACAAGTATTTGTTGACTAGATCAACGAATAAGTCACAATTAATTTTAAAATTCTGGTGGATGGATTCTCCTCCTAATATATAAGTCGCCAGTTTTGTTGATATCCTACTTCATTATATGAGCTGGATAAACAAGGCAGCATGTTCTCAAATGTTTTTTTTCCTATGCTCTTATGAATAGAAATTTGAAATAATTCAGAATGGCATAAAATGTTTTTTTCATTAAATGGCAAAAATGCCCTGGTTCCTATAAGCAAAGGAATATATTATAATAAAGAACATAATAACAAAGCTTTAGTGAATCTACAAATAAGTTGTACATCTTTGAAGAACACATTTTACATTGTCAGTGTTTTTTAATATCATTAATGTCATAATGGGCTTCTTCCCAGGTAGCAATAGTGGTAAAGAACCTGCTTGCCAATACAAGAGACAGAAGACATGCAGGTTCAATCCCTGGATTGGGAAGATCCCTTGGAGAAGGGCATGGCAACCCACTCCAGTATTCTTGCATGGAGAATCCCATGGACAGAGGAACCTGGCGGGCTATAGTCCATAGGGTTGCAGAAAATTCTACTGTGGGACCTGTTATTCTACTAGGTAAGAAAGTGTTTTTCTAGGAATTTCTAACTTCTGTTAAACACTCCAAAGACCATTCAGTTTGGAAATATCCATCAATTCTTTATAGATCCTCAGAGACTACTAATATTCCACAATCTTTGATCCTAAATAGTACATTAATATGAAAACCACTATTTTTAACATCTCAAACCAATAGTAAGGTCCAATCCATGCAAGACTACTTAAAAGTGCTTTTTACAAGGGGAGAAACAATTTGGCTATGTTATTTAGAGGGAAAGATATTAAAATATTGCATATTTGTTTCCAAAAACTCAATAGAGAAATCTTACTTGAAAGAGATCAGAAAATCCACAAAAAGGTTACTCTTTAGGCATCTCCTTCCTTCTTATCTAAGTAGATTGACTTTTGGTGCTTTTTTAATGTATTTAGCCATCATGATATAATTTTCTTGTTAGGTATCTAATGGGCTATTTTATACTCGTTTATAAAGCCATTTTTTAAAGCAGAGAAAATGAGATTGGTCAAGCTTGTATCAGCGATGTCTACCACCTTGTCTGATTATCTGAAATCACAGAGGGAGATAAGTCATATAAAATAAACATGGCTGCATGTTTATGGCTGAAGAGAGTTGTTTTCTGAAAAAGGTAGGGTGGGATAGATAGACACAAAAGGGACCTATTATTTAAATATTTTTAAATAATCTAATATTTCAGTAACATATATGTTATATACAGAAGGTTGATGTAAAGAGAGCAAATGTCTAAGTATAGGAGAAATTGTAGTCTTTTCCATTTAATACAATTGTGAAACAAAAACATGCATTTTGCAGACATTTCTCCATTTAAAAATTTAAGACAGGTAGGCATAATATGATTCAATAGAAGATATACTAATAATTCATTATATTTTATGATGCCCATCTCCTACATAACCACAGTATCAAAAAATTAGGAAGCAGTTTTTTTTTTTTTTTTAGGAAGCAGTATTTGAACAACAAACAGAATGCGTCTGGGGTCATCTTCAAATCAATAGTGTTTGATGACAAAAAGTTGAAAAATTGAACAAATGTTTGTGACTTTGCAGTAATGAAGTTGAAAGATCTTTCCATCAAAATAGAATAAAGAGCATACATATGACTATACATTAAGAAAAATTGCTAACCTTCTTAACTAGGAAAATGAAATCAGCAAAAAATATTCTATATGGATCTAAAAGCTAATGGGAACAGTATATTTTGAAAAAACTTTCAACTCCAATAAACTGATAAATTCCTAATTGAATCCAAAACCATTTAGAAAGTCTGAGTTTTCTTCTACATTAATCACGGACCCCCGATGATTGGAGGCAACAGACTTCAGAACCTTGAACTCTCTGGTCCCAGTTCCTCCCGTCAGACACACCTCGTACTGGTAGCTCTGCGACAGGGTCCCCGTGCCGCTGACGTCCACCAGGTGGCCCGGGAAGTGGCCCTCGGGCACCGGGCAGCGACCCGCCGAGCCCGCCCCGCCCCTCCTGCACAGCCGCACCGCCACGAACACCAGCACCGAAAAGAGGAAGAGCGACGACACCGACGCCAAGGCCACCACCAGGTAGACGGTGAGCGGGTCGGCCGGCGCCGCGGCCGCCGCTTCCGCTTCCGGGGGCGGCAGGTAGGGCTGCGAGAAGCCGTCCACCAGCAGCACGTGCAGCGTGACGCTGGCCGACAGCGGCGGCTCGCCGTTGTCCTTGACCAGCACCACCAGCCGCTGCTTGGGCGCGTCGCGCTCGCTCAGCAGCCGCGCCGTGCGCACCTCGCCGTTGTGAGCCCACACGCCGAACAGCCCGGGCTCCGTGGCCTTGAGCAGCTGGTACGACAGCCAGGCGTTCTGGCCTGCGTCGCCGTCCACCGCCACCACCTTGGTCACCAGGTAGCCGGGCTCGGCCGCCCTGGGCACCAGCTCGGTGCAGGGCGCCGAGGCGTTCTGCAGCGGGTAGAGCACGAAGGGCGCGTTGTCGTTGGCGTCCTCCACGAGCACGCGCACCAGCGCCTGGCTGCTGAGCGCGGGCGAGCCGCGGTCGGCGGCGCCCACGCGGAACTCGAAGGCTCGCAGGACCTCGTAGTCCAGGGACGTGAGGGCGAAGAGGTGGCCATTGTCGGGGTTGATGGACACGAGGGAGGCGAGGGGCACGTGCGGGTCGGGCGGCGGCAGCAGCGAGTAGGTGACCTGGGCGTTGGCGCCCGCGTCTGTGTCTGTGGCGCTGACGCTGCCGATGTGGAGGGCGGGGCTGTTGTTCTCGCGGACCCACAGGGTGTAGGAGGTCTGGGTGAAGGTGGGGGCGTTGTCGTTGACGTCGGACACCAGCACGGTTATGTTGTGCTCGGTTTTCAGTCTGGGGGTTCCCATGTCAGTGACGGTGATGGTGATGTTGTACTCAGCTTTGCTCTCTCTGTCCAGTGGGCTCTCTGTTTCCAAGGTGTAGAAATTTTTGAAATTAGGCTTCAAGAGAAACGGAAGGTTGTCCTGAATTGAGCAAACCATCCTCCCGTTGTCGCCAGAGTCTGGGTCTCGGAGGCTAAAAACCGCGACCACCATTTCAGGCGATGAATTTTCTGGTATGGGGCTGGTAAGAGATGTTACGACTACTTCTGGTGGGTTGTCATTCACATCTACAACACTAACTAAAATTACTGATTTTCCTGAAAGGCTCCCACCGTCAATGGCCTGAATATTTATTGTGTAAGACTGAACTAATTCAAAATCCAGAAACGCCTTTAAACGGACTTCACCAGAAATTGGATCGATTTCAAATGTCTTCTGTATGTCTCTGGAAACGTGGGAAAATGAGTAAGATAGTTCTCCATTTATTCCTGCATCTAAATCTGTAGCAGATACCTTGACGACCAAGAAGTCCAGAGGGCTGTTTTCTGGTATCGGAACCTCATAGACGGATCTTTCAAACTGTGGGGCATTGTCATTGATATCTAAGACCAACACACGCACCAGTGCAGTTCCAGACCTCGGTGGAGACCCGCCATCCAGGGCTGTTAGCGTTAATCTAAGCTCAGGCTCCTTTTCTCGATCCAGAGGTTGGTCCAGTAAGAGCTCTGGGTATTTTGTACCCTCCTCACTGTCTTGCAGTTTAAGGTGGAAATGAGGATTGGGATTTAACGTGTAGTTTTGGACACCATTCTTTCCTACGTCCAAGTCCTGAGCGCTATCCATTTGGAACGAGGTTCCTGGAGCAGTGCTTTCTGAGATTTTCAGAAATATATGTTTGTCTGTGAACGTGGGAGTGTGATCATTTATGTCTTCAACCCAAAACTCAGCTCGAAAAAATTGCAAAGGATTTTCAAGTAATACCTGGAAATGCAATATACACGGCTCGGTAAGATCGCAAAGTGCCTCCCGGTCCGGTTGCTCATTTAAGAGCAAGTTGCCAGTCTGCAGATCCAGCCGCAAGTGTGGTTTATAATCGTCAAAGATGACTCTGGCCCCCCGTGCAGACAGGTCTTCCACACCCAAACCTATGTCTTTCACCACGTTGCCTATAAAGGAGCCGATCTCCGTTTCCTCTGCTACAGAATAGCGCCAGGTCTCTGAACACACCAAAGACCCTCCCAGGAAAACAAAGAAAAGCAGCACTTGCCTTATCTGCTGAGGGTTTCCTTTTCCTAGCTCCATGGCTCCCTAGTCAAATGCCTTTCTGCGGAAATATTTCAATGCAATCTCAAACAGCTTCTCTTATCAGCATGAACCTTTGGGAGCCTGTAGACTTGCAGTTCTGTGGCAAAGGAGTTTTTGGCTCCCTAGCTTTCTCTTGAAAGCCTCTTTTAATCACCACTGATTCTCCGGCACTCCCAGTTCCAAAGGTTCACGGAAACCAGAGCGTCTAATGGTACAAATATTTCCCAATGTTATCCTGCAGCGCCACCATGCGACTCTGCAGATTCTCAGGTTTTAAATATAGTTAAGTAGGTTTGAGACAAAATATTAATTTATCCTGTGTTTGTTGATGGTGCAAAAGGTATTTTCTCCTGTATTCTTATATTTCACCTATATTTCTTTTCTGAGTTTTTTCTTTGTCCTATGTGATGCTGTTACTTTTACGTCTTTAACATAATAGACTACCATCTCTAGAGCTGTGGTGGATATAAAAAGTGTATTTAAGATATCATCCCAAGCTTAGATAAGTTATGCTCCCTCTGAAGACAATATATAAAACAACTAAAAATAGTTAAGAGGACTCTTTTATGTAATTGACTTAGTGAGCAAGAGTTTCCGAGGAAAATTGGAAATGGGACCAGAGATCTTAGTCTTCTCTAGGTATCAGCAAATACACTTCAAAAAATGATAAGGATAAAGGCATGCACTGGAAACTGAACCTGGTATATGAAGACAGTTTTTCAGGGGAGGCTGGACAATACTGGCTGGGTAAAAGGTACTGTTTATTTAGGAATACTCCATAAGTGACCTTCCTGGCAGCAGTAGAAAGTAAATGCTCATCAGTATTGAATAATGTAAGATATGTCCAGTTTCTGTCAACATTTTTAAAGTTGAACGAACTGGAGCCCAGTTTAGTTGTGGAACTGAATTCTGTTTTGTACACCCAAGCCTTTCAGAGATATAATTCTACATATTTTATTCCTCCATTCATTAATTTGTTTGGCAAATATTTATTGAACATACACTTTGTGCTAGGCACAGTGATTAGTGTTAGGGGTAGGATGGGAAACAGACATAGTTTCCGTCCTGAAAGATGGAGGCAGAAGAGTGATCACACATTTAAAATAGAGCATAATGAATGCCATGATAAGCAAAAGTTCATGCTTGTATAAAAGCATAGGGTCACCTAACCAGAATTTGGAAGTACAGGAAAGACTTTTCTGGAAACAGTAAATTCTGGTTTGATACATGAAAAATGAGTATGAGTAATCCAAATAAAAACTGGACATGGGCTAAAATTTCCAACAAACTAAAAACATGGTTGTACAGATCCAAAATGAAAGAAGTGTTTTGGAAGAACTGAAATAGGATCAGTATGGCTGAGTCATAGAGCAAGAAGAGAGAAATGGTGAGATTAGAAAGATCAACAAACAATTTTGTAACACATGCCAAGGTATTTGGACTCTACATAAATAGAAATGTGAGATTATTGAAAGGTTGTAAATAGAAAAGTGACATGACCCAGTTTTATTTTTTAAAAGATGATCTTGTTTCAGAATTGATGATAAATCAGAGAGGAGTAAGACTAAAGGCAAGGGACAGATTAGAAGTTATTGCATTAATACAGTTAAGAGGTGATACTGCTCTTATCTACAAATGCAGTTATAGAGTTATATTAGGATAATAAAGATAAAATATGCAGTATGTGGTGATTAAACAGAGTAGAATAAAAACGAGTAAAAGTAAATGTACTTTTTTTTCAGGCTTAGGGAACTGGGTGACTCTTAGTTCTGTTAACTGATAGAGTGAACACAGGAAGACCAGAAGTCATATGTATAGAGCTAGAGAAAACATTTAGTTTTGATGAAGGGAAAATTTTGATGTAAAACATGTTGAGTTTAAAGTGTCCATAGAGCATCCATATAAATTATTACATAAATGATCTTACATTATATAAAGTGAGGAAGGAGGTTTGGGCTGCAGAGAAAATTTGGGACTTATTGATCTGAATGGTGACTGAAGCCCTTAGAGAAATAATTTAAGTTGTAAATTAAGAGAAGTATGTTTGAATTTATGATTTTAGAGATGCAGCTCTAAAAGACTACTCTCTTTTTTTTTCCTTAAGACTACTCTCTTTAGAAGTGGTCATGGTTATATAGATCTGCTAGAATAGGGAAGAATTGGATGTCACTAGAGATGAAGAAGGCTAGAGAGTAAGTCAAATTCCTGGACTTAAGACTGTAGTAAGGGACAGACAGAGGAAAACTATAAGAAGTTGTATTTGAAAACTAGCTTTACCCCACTTCTTTCCCATGATCTTGATTAATTTAAAATCAACTGACATCCAGTTGACTTGATTCCCTCATTTGATGATAAGCAAAGACTATTTAGGCAGGAAGGTTTGCTATTTCTTTTAGCACTTTGAAGGTAGTTTACTTTTTAAAAATTTCCATTGCTACTGTTGAGAAGTTGTCAACATGGAACATAGCTTTCAGCCTGTCATGTGTTTAAAGACGAAGTCTTTTTTCTATGACTTTTCTTTAAAAAAAATTCTGCTTTTTTCAAATTTCACAATGATGTTTCCAGGTATGGTTATCTTTTGTTTATCCTGTTAGGCTTATTTCGGTCTCTTGAATCTGTGCACTTATGTTTTCATTAATTCTGAAGAATTCCCAGCCATTATTTTTTTTTTTAGATTTATTTATTGGCTGCACCAGGGTCTTCATTGCTGCATGCAGGCTTTCTCTAATTGCAGCAAGCAGGGGCTACTCTCTAGTTGTGGTGCTCGGACTTCCCATTTTGGTGGCTTCTCCTGTTGAGGAGCACCAGCTCTAGGGCTCAGGGGCTTCAGTAGTTCCCTCTAGCAGCATGTGGGATCCTAGTTCTTAGATCAGGGATCCAACCTATGTCTCCTGCATTGCAAGGTGGATTCTTAACCACTGGACCGCCAGGGAAGTCCCCCGGTAATTAGTTTTTCAAATACTGCCTCTGATCCAGTCTTGCTCATCTCTCCTAGAATTCTGGATAAATATGTTAAACTTGTTTACTCTGTTATCCTTTTCTAACCATCCCCCCCATATTTTCTATCTTATTAACTCTATGAGTTGCATGTGGGATAAGTTATTTTCTGCCCTATCTTTTGCTCCACAAATTATTTTGTTGCATTTAGTTTTCTATTAAACCTTTTATGCAGCTTCAAATTGTATCACATTTTTCAATTATAGGAGTTCTACTTGATTCTTTCCTAATCTTTCATATTTTATTGTTTCTTGTTCCCTGTACATTTTAAAGTATATATTTTATTTCAGTTGAAGTTGTTAGCTTATTATAGAGTGTGTCTGATAATTGAAACATCTGAAGTGTTTGCAAATTTGAAAAGTGAAACTGTTAGGCGTTCAGCTCTTTGTGGCCCCATGCACCATAGCCCACCAGACTTGCTCTGTCCATGGAATTCTTCAGGCAAGAATACTGGAGTAGGTAGCCATTTTCTCCTTTAGGGGATCCCTGGTCTCCTGCATTGCAGGCAGATTCTTTACTGTCTGAGCCACCAGGGAAGCCCATTTGCAAGTTTGTTTCGTGTTTTGCTGGGTTTCACTCATGGTGTCATATTTCTTTGTGCATGCAGTTTTCTTTATATTCAAGTTAACATAAAAATTATATAAATAATTCTAGGCATAAGATGAATAAACCTTTTTTCAAAGAAGGTCTCCATTTGGTTCTATCAAGATCTGGGACGACTGCTTGTCAACTACCACCTTAAATTAAGTTCAACGTTAAAAATCAAGTTCAAGGCTAAAATTGCACACAGGGGCTCATCAATTTCCAGTTTATCATCATAAAGGTGGTAGTTCTTAGGAATCCAGACTTATTGAAGTGAAGGTCTTCTATCAACTTCTCAGTATGTTAGGCTTTGATTTTCTCCCCCATAATACACCATCAAATTAGAGGTTCACATTTCCCAGAATTCCAAATCCCAGGGAAAAAAATGGATTGGGTGTTGTTTTATCTTTCTGAATTAACCTTTTAACATTAACTGTGACCTGACAATGTATTAGTGGTTTATTAAGCTGTTTTTTCCAGTAGGAGTGTTGGTGTACATAATCTATACCACCCTTACTAAAAATATAAAATCTCAAGGATATTGTTATGTCTCAAAATGAAAAGCAAATACTTTGTTCTCATGGAGTGTGGGGAATTGATCTTACTGAGAGGATACATAAATAATATATATATTTTAACCAAGTTGATCTGATCAATACTAAATCAACTATGATGCTGCAATCAATTTAAGCAGTGTCTTTGAATAGTTTCTTTTTTTGTCATTGATATTGGTATAGCTCATACTTCTGTCCACACCCTATGGTGTGTTTTACATAGTGTAAACACTATGTAAAACACACAACTTCTTTCCTACATCTGTTCCTTCTTCCTTTCTTCCAATATGTTTATATATTTGTATATTTTTACAAGTGTAAGATATTATGTATTATATGGATATATTGGTACTGTACTATAAATCTCAGTCTTTTTTCTTTTAAAACATTTGGAATTTATCCATGTGATTGTATACCAAGTTCACTCCTTTTCAACACTGCACAGTAAAGTGAAGTGAACTGTTAGCTGCTCAGTCATGTCCGACTCTTTGTCACCGGGTAGAATATAGCTCACCAGGCTCCTCTGTCCATGGAATTCTTCAGGCAAGCTTACTGGAGTGGGTTGCCATTCCCTTCTCCAGGGGATCTTCCTGACCCAGGAATCCAACCCAGGTTTCCTGCAGATTGTAGGATTGTAGGCAGAGGAAGTTCACTCCTTTTGAATAACGCATAGTGCTCCTTCACAAATATGTTTCACATTTATCAATTGCTTTACTGATGAATATGTAGACAGACTCCTATTCTTTGCTTTCCCAAGATAAACATTCTTATGCACATCACTTTGTAAAGCTGTGTTAGAATTTTCTGGCTATGTGCCCCAAAGTAGAAATGCTAGATCATAAACTGTGTATATTTTAATATTTTTAGTAAAACTAAATTTACATACATACTAAATTTCATTAAATACTATTGAAATTCCCTCAAAATGGGGGTATATGCAATTTTCTATGCATATACATCTATGGTTCCATATGATGTTACCCAAATTTCTCATCTATGGGTGTAAAATTATTTTATCATGTATATCATCAACTAATGAGGTTGTGTGTCACTTCGTGTTCTTTTCAGACTTTGTTTTCCCCTCTTTTGAATTACTTTTCTCTTTTGTCCTTTAAAAAACATTCTGTTGGCTCCCTTGATTTTCTGACTTTTGCTGATCTGAGGAGTTATCTGAATAATCTAAATATTAATCCTTCTGAGTTAAAATGTTGCAAGTAGCTTCTCCCTGCATCCCATCTGCTAGTTTATCTGAGCTATCCTCTAGTTTTAAGGTAGTAATATTTATCAGTTTTTATCTTTATTGTTTGCACTTTTCAAAATTTATTATTTTTTAATTGAAGGATAATTGCTTTACAATATTGTGTTAGTTTCTACCATACATCAGCATGAATCAGCCATAGGTATACACATTTTTCCTCCTGAACCTCCCTTCCACCTCCTGTTTGCACTTTTAAAACCTTGTTTAAGAAAGTGAAACCAATAGTAAGGTTATAAAGATATTTTTACTTAGATATTTTCTTTATATAGTGAATTTTCCAGCCAATTTTACTGGAAAAGTAATCAGTCTCTCCCTCCCCCCAGTAATTTTGACACCTCTTCAATCATGACTAAATTTTCCTATATAAAAGGATCTGATCTTGAATTTCATTCTATCTGGCAGTGTACAAGCTTGTTTCTGGATTATTCAAGTAGAGTATTTTGTTCTTGTCTATTCTTACTCTTATGCATAAGAAAAATAAGATTTGTTTCTTATGCCTCTGAGAGATAAAGAGGGTCCAAACATTTTTTTTTTCAGGACTGTACTGCCTTACGGAGAAGGCAATGGCATCCCACTCTAGTACTCTTGCCTGGAAAACCCCATGGATGGAGGAGCCTGGTAGGCTGCGGTCCATGGGGTCACTAAGAGTCGGACACGACTGAGCGGCTTCACTTTCACTTTTCACTTTCATGCATTGGAGAAGGAAATGGCAAACAACTCCAGTGTTCTTGCCTGGAGAATCTCAGGGATGGGGGAGCCTGGTGGACTGCCGTCTGTGGGGTCACACAGAGTCGGACACGACTGAAGCGACTTAGCAGCAGCAGCAGCAGTACTGCTTAAATGTCTAGTTAATAAAATTCTCACAACTAGTAAGTATCTGTTGCAATGCAAAATAAGACCAGTAAAAGCTTCATGAAGCAAAGAAAAATTTCCTAAGAAAATTGGAATTTGTTTTACCCATTTCACAATGTCAGCAAAATTGCATTTTACTACATCATCTAGTCTATAATATTTAACTTTGTACGAGAAATCACAGAAGTGTATATGCACAGTAGCTTTATTATCCACACTACATTCTAGTTACCAAAATCTGCACTGAACTGTACACTTGTAGATTGGAGATATTATGATTTGGAACACCATGAGGCATCTATAAGCCATTAATATAGACCCATCCTTTGTGAACATCTGAGAAAGAGCACAAATATTAAAGGATTTTTGATATTTACTTTTAAAAATTAAGAGAAAAGTGAACTGAGTTCATTTCTTTAACAGTCTGAATTTTCATCTTAATTATTAAGAAGTTTTTATCTATATTCCTCTAATGGAAAAGAGTATTTTACTTAAGATGACACCATAAACAATCAAGCTATGTAATGAACACTATAATACAATTTTAAACTGGCAAATGTGGCATATTGAGAGAAAACAAAGCAGCAATGTAAAATAGCCAAACTCCTCCCCTCAAAACACCATCAACAATGAGAAAAAAGAAAAATTACTTAAGAAATCACTAATTTTCAATTTGGTCACTTTTGTCATAAATTGAATTCATGAAAAACACGATATAACAATAACCAAAACAAATAAGGTACCCTACTACTGAAGATGGACAGGTAGCACTTTTACCCTTTATGATAAAAAATTTCAAAGGTAAGAGTGCAATAAGATCCAATATACTTTCCACCCAGTCAACAGAACTTTTCATTTTTGATGTGTCTATCTATGCTTTGATGAAATATCCAGAAGTAAATTACATATATAGTGGCATTCCCTAATACTTTAGAATTTGCACCTCCAAATAATAATCACACCATTGTCACAACAAAAAACTAGCAATAACTCCATTACTATGACATTTAGACCAAATGTACAAAAAAATCAGAAAACTATATTTCCATGACATTATAGCCACTAATTTTTAAAGCCACTAAAGATTTTTAAAACAACTGCGACGGGATCATGAGAAATGGTAATACATGCAAGTACCATCCCACATGAACTATATTACAGATTGGCACAAAGGGGCCTACAAAAAAAGGGGGGTCTACAGTTTGCCAAGAATAACAAAATATCAGAAGTTTAAATTATTTTACTGAAGGTTGAGTCCAAAGCTATTTCTAAAGTTCTCGTGTTCCCCTATATGCCTACCGGTGTCTTGGACTGGAAGATTAGGGATAATCGGCTTCAGAAATTTAAATTCATTCGTCCCAGTTCCTCCCATCAGACACACCTCGTACTGGTAGCTCTGCGACAGGGTCCCCGTGCCGCTGACGTCCACCAGGTGGCCCGGGAAGTGGCCCTCGGGCACCGGGCAGCGACCCGCCGAGCCCGCCCCGCCCCTCCTGCACAGCCGCACCGCCACGAACACCAGCACCGAGAAGAGGAAGAGCGACGACACCGACGCCAAGGCCACCACCAGGTAGACGGTGAGCGGGTCGGCCGGCACCGCGGCCGCCGCTTCCGCCTCCGGGGGCGGCAGGTAGGGCTGCGAGAAGCCGTCCACCAGCAGCACGTGCAGCGTGACGCTGGCCGACAGCGGCGGCTCGCCGTTGTCCTTGACCAGCACCACCAGCCGCTGCTTGGGCGCGTCGCGCTCGCTCAGCAGCCGCGCCGTGCGCACCTCGCCGTTGTGCGCCCACACGCCGAACAGCCCGGGTTCCGTGGCCTTGAGCAGCTGGTACGACAGCCAGGCGTTCTGGCCCGCGTCGCCGTCCACCGCCACCACCTTGGTCACCAGGTAGCCGGGCTCGGCCGCCCTGGGCACCAGCTCGGTGCAGGGCGCCGAGGCGTTCTGCAGCGGGTAGAGCACGAAGGGCGCGTTGTCGTTGGCGTCCTCCACGAGCACGCGCACCAGCGCCTGGCTGCTGAGCGCGGGCGAGCCGCGGTCGGCGGCGCCCACGCGGAACTCGAAGGCCCGCAGGACCTCGTAGTCCAGGGACGTGAGGGCGAAGAGGTGGCCGTTGTCGGGGTTGATGGACACGAGGGAGGCGAGGGACACGTGCGGGTCGGGCGGCGGCAGCAGCGAGTAGGTGACCTGGGCGTTGGCGCCCGCGTCTGTGTCTGTGGCGCTGACGCTGCCGATGTGCAGGGCGGGGCTGTTGTTCTCGCGGACCCACAGGGTGTAGGAGGTCTGGGTGAAGGCGGGGGCGTTGTCGTTGACGTCGGACACCAGCACGGTTATGTTGTGCTCGGTTTTCAGTCTGGGGGTTCCCATGTCAGTGACGGTGATGGTGATGTTGTACTCGGCTCTTTCCTCTCTGTCCAGTGCTTTATCTGAAACTAGGGTGAAAAAGTTCTTGAAGGTCGGTTTCAGAAAAAATGGGAGGTCATCTTGGATAGAGCAAATAATCCTTCCATTTTCTCCAGCGTCTTGGTCTCGGACACTAAAGAGAGCCACAAGAGTCTCTGCGGCGTTCTCTGGAATTATCTTTGTAATTGATGAGATGATCACTTCTGGCGGATTGTCATTTGTATCTATTACTTTCACCAAAAGAGTGCATTCTTCGGAAAGACCCCCACCATCTGTTGCCTGAATATTTATAGTGTAGGATTGTACTACTTCAAAATCCAGTTGTGATCTCAAATGAACTTCCCCAGATATTGGATCGATTTCAAATGTTTTACGAATATCTTCTGATGCATGAAAAAACGTATAAAGTATTTTCCCATAATTTCCTGCATCCAGATCCTTAGCAGAGACGGTGATAATCCAAGAGCCAACCGGTGCGTTTTCCAGGATCTGCACCTCATAGAGCCTCTGAGGAAACTCTGGGGCATTGTCGTTGATGTCTAAGACCTTGATGAGGACCAAAGTTGTTCCAGACCTGGGGGGGTTTCCACCGTCCAGTGCTACAAGTGTTAATATGAGCTCAGGCTCCTCCTCATGATCTAATGCTCTGTGCAGGACCAGTTCTGGGTATATCTTTCCATCGTCGCTGTCTTGAATTTTAATGTAGAAGTGAGAATTGGGGCTAACTGTGTAGTTTTGAAGACTGTTGCTTCCTACATCCAAATCTTGGGCACTCTCCATTAGGAATGTAGTTCCAATAGTGGTACTTTCTGATATTTTAATAACTATTTCACTGTCAAGAAATGTAGGGGAGTGATCATTTATATCTTTGATGTGCAGCTCAGCCTGAAAAAACTGTAAAGGGTTTTCCAATACCATCTGAAAATGCATCACACAGGGCTCCGTGGAGCCACACAACTCTTCCCGGTCCAGTTTATCATTTATCAGCAAATCCCCAGTCAGCAAATCGAGGTGCAAATGCTTTTCATTGTCATCAAATACTACCCGAGCTTCCCGTGAAGGGAGTTCCTCCACCCCAAGCCCCAGATCCCTTGCCAGATTAGCCACCAAAGAACCGATTTCTGTTTCCTCTGCCACAGAATAGGGCACAGACTCAGGACGCGCCTGAGACAATCCCAGTAAAACAAAGAGAATCAGGACTTGCCTTTTCCGCAGAAGGAGTGCCCCTCTGATCTCCATGGTTCTTTCAAGAAACCTCTTTTGTGGAAATTTTTTAGTTCAGCCCTAATTTTCAAACCGAGGGCCTTTTTTTTTTAAGTTGGAAACTTCTGAAGTCTATATAAACCTCCAAGTCTGTAGGTGAAGCGCGTTAATACCTCTCTTTTCAGTGGGTTGGATGTTCTCTGTTCTCATGAATAATGGAGCCCTGTGTTGTAGAAGCACCGTTTTTGTCTTATACTGCAGCGCCACCATGTGTCTCTGTGAATTTTTTTCAGTAAAAAATTTTTTCTCTTTAAACAAGTAATTCATATATTCATCTGGAATATTTTAAAGCAAATACCAGACATCATGTATTTTTACCTCTAAATACTTCATTAAGTATCTCTAACAGATAAGGACTACAAATAAGAACCTTAGTACATTTTATATTTGATCTGTGTTTGCATTTCCCCATTTTCTTTTAAATCAGTCTTTAAACAAGGTTCATGAAGTGCATTGAATTATCACTTTTGAATGCTTGACAAGAATAACCGTTAAAATATCCTGAACTGAAAAAATTATGTCTTATTCAGGCCATTTCTTGAGTTATTGCAAATGTATTCTCCTCTCCAATCTTGTGAACACTTAATAGATTTCAGTCAGTTATGGTTAGTATTGTCATTACTTTTTCACTTGTATATTTTTAAAAACTACATATTAAGGACATGACATTGTCTTTATGGTGCTCAAAGGCTAGAAAATTTGGTAATCAAAATATGCCAAAGTAATAAAATATACCAAGTAATCAAAATATGCCAAAATGTATGCCTAGGTAAATAGTAATATGTAAATATCTAGAAGGGACATCTTATACCCAGGAGATAGCACTGCATAGTGGTTATGAACAGGGATTCTGGAATCACAGTCTCTACATTAGAATCCTAGTTCTGCTACTCACTGTCTACAGTCATGGGCAAATTATGTACCTCTGCTTCCTTACCTATAAAATAGGGGTAATATTAATGTTTACCTTCTAGGATGATTATTGTAGGAATCTAATGGTTTAACATTACTAAGTGGCTGGTAAGTGCTTGTTTGCAACCCCATGGACTGCAGCATGCCAGGCTTCCCTGTCCATCACCAACTCCCAGAGCTTGCTCAAACTCATGTCTAGTGAATCAGTGATGCCATCCAACCACCTCATCCTCTGTCATCCCCTTCTCCTGCCTTCAATCTTTCCCAGCATCAGAGTCTTTTCCAGTGAGTCAGTTCTTCACATCAGGTGGCCAGAGTATTGGAGGTTCAGCTTCAGCATCAATCCTTCCAATGAATATTCAGGACTGATTTCCTTTAGGATTGACTGGTTTGATTTCCTTGCTGTCCAAGGGACTCTCAAGAGTCTTCTCCAACACCACAGTTCTTTATGGTCCACTCTCACATCCATACATGACTACTGGAAAAACCATAGCTTTGACTAGACGGACTTTTGTCGGCGAAGTAATGTCTCTGCTTTTTAATATGCTGTCTAGGTTGGTAATAGCTTTTCTTCCAAGGAGCAAGCATCTTTTAATTTCATGGCTGCATGAAATTATGATAGCATATATATGCTACCACATGTGAAATACATAGCTGTGGGAAGGTGCTGTATAGCACAGGAAACTCAGTGCTCTGTAATGACCTAGAGAGGAGGGAGCGGGAAAGGTAGGAGGGATGCTCAAGAGGGAGGGGATATGTGTATACATATAGCTGATTCATGCAAAATTAACACAACATCGTAAAGCAGTTACACTCTAATTATATGGCTGCTGACTGATCAGAATGATTGCTACATGTTGGAGTAGCTGTGGAAATATCTTAAGGCAACAATGAAGTTTGCTGCATCAATGGAGTCTTTGTTTCATGAACAGTTTCTCTGTAGCCCACAATGCTGTTTGAGAGCATTTTACCCATAGTGGAACTTCTTTCAAAATTGGAGTTGATTCTTTTAAACCCTGCTGCTACTTTATGAACTAAGTTTATGTCATATTCTAAATCGTTTGTTGTCATTTCAGTAACCTTCACAGGATTTTCACTTGTAGATTCCATCTCAAGAAACCACTTTCTTTGTTCATCCATAAGAAGCAACTCCTCATCCATGAGAAAGTTTCATCATGAGATTTCAGCAGTTCAGTCACATCTTCAGGGTCCATTTCTAATTTTAGTTCTTTTGCTATTTCCACCACATCTGAAGTTTCTTCCTCCACTGAGGTTTGAACCCCTGAGTCACAAGGGTTGAAATAAACTTCTTCTAAACTCCTGTTAATATTGATATTTTGATTGCTCCCCATGAATCATGTATTTCTGATGGCATCCAGAATGGTGAATCTGTTTCGAAAGGTTTTCAATTTCCTTTGCCCAGATCCATTAGAGAAATCACCGTCTGTGGCAGCCAAAGATTTATGAAATGTATTTCTTAAATAATTAAGACTTGAAAATCAAAATGACTCCTTGATTCATGGGGTGCAGAATGGATGTTGTGTGCAGGCATGAAAACACCACTATTCTGGTTGTACATCTCCAGCACTAGGTCTCACCAGTGGATTTAAAATACTCAGTAATCCATGCGTAAACAGGTGTGCTGTTATCCAGGCTTTGTTGTTCCATTTAAAGAGCACAGGCAGAATAGGTTTTGCATAATTATTAAGGGTCCTAGGGTCTTTGGAAGGTCAATAAACATTGGTTTCAGCTTAAAAGTTACCAGCGCGTTAGACCATAACAAAAGAATCAGCCTGTCCTTTAAA